ATTGTAAGTATCAAATATAAATTTGGGGACTCTAAGAGCTGATAATAAACTAGAGGAGGTTTAATAATTTCTAGAAAGATAATTTCAAAATAACATCCCTCTCTCTCATGTAAATGTACTTGAGCTTCTTGCTTTACAAGTAGTTTATATTTTATAATAGAAACATGTGTAAGCTAATTTTCTATGTAGAGAGTTATTGTTTTCGATAAAAATAACTTATTCATGACCTCCTACAAATATACCCATTTAATATTTATGCATTAAGTCTCATTTCATTGAATAAATATTAATTCTTTATTAATTACTATAATATCTTAATATCTATTCACTTTCTAACCTAATAGAACCAAAAGAATTCCAAAAAAAAAATGATCAACAAGTGTGCCTACGTGCAACGCACGTACACGATACTAGTAAAAATAAATATGGAACAAATTTTGTATAAATTAAAAAGGTTATTAACATATTATACATATGCATCTCCCCTAACATATTATACATATACATATCTTGGCTACTCTATATTCAGAAGAAAGGAATGGCAGAATGGGGTCTCTTAGGGATATCATCTCTTTCAGAAAATTTGTTTCATCTACATCTCTTATTGATCTTCCACTTTCTGGTCGTTCTTTCACTTGGTCTAATAAACGACAAAACCCTGCTATGGCAAGACTGGATAGATTTCTGGTATGTGCAGAATGGGATAGAGTTCATCCCTTAAGCCTTCAATATTCTCCTCCTTTCGTAGGCTCTGATCATTGCCCGTTAATTCTAGATAGTGGTGGTGTCAAACCTAGTCCACCCTCTTTCCGCTTTGATAAAAGTTGGTTCCATAATCAAACTTTTATTCCTTATATTCAAGATTCATGGAAATCTTTTATATGTGAAGGAAATCCAGCTGATATCTTCATAAGAAAGCTATATCTTTTAAAGAGGAGAATAAAGTGGTGGAGAAGAAATATCTATGGTTCATTAATTTCTAGAAAAAACATGTTGCTAGCCAAAATAAATTCCTTGGACTTAATTGAAGAACATAGACCCTTATCACTATCAGAGTTATCTGATAAGAATTCTTTTCAATCTCAATTTTCTTCTATCATTCAGGAGGAGGAATCATACTGGTCACAAAGATCCCGTATTCAATGGCTCAAAGAAGGAGATGCTAATACATCCTTTTTTCATAAGTCAGCTTCTTTTCACAAAAAATCAAACCATATAGTCTCTATAGACCATATGGGTTCTGAAATTTCTGATTCTGTAGCAATATCTAAGGCTTTCCATGATTATTACTCTCAACTTTTTGGCCAGAAGCATGACAGCAAGATGTCTATTAATTGGACTCACTTATATCCTAATCCAAATCAAAATCTTACAGCCCTTGAAGCACCTTTTTTTGAATCAGAAGTAAAACATGCAGTTTTCAACATGAATCCAAACAAAGCACCTGGACCAGATGGATTTTCTCTTTTGTTCTACCAATCTTTCTGGGATCTTATCAAAAATGATCTTGTTGATCTTATGAATTTCTTTGGTCAAAACCCATCATCCCTTCATAGAGTTAATAAAGTCCTCATTACTCTCATTCCAAAATCTAAGGGATGTCCTACAGTTAAAGACTTTAGACCGATCAGTTTGATAAACTGTATCTTTAAAATCTTTACAAAAATCTTAGCATCAAGATTATCTCCTCTTTTAAAGGATCTCATTTCTCCTACTCAGTCTGCTTTCCAAACAGGAAGATCTACACTTGACTCGATCCTCATTGCTAATGAGATGATTCATTTTTGTTCTAAGAGAAAAAAGGAAGTAGCCATGATCAAAATTGACTTTGCCAAAGCTTTTGACTCTATCAATTGGAATTTTCTAATCAATTTGCTCAAAGCTAGAGGGTTTGGTGACAAATGGTGCTCATGGATTTATCATATTATTTCCTCTTCTAGCTGTGCTGTTCTTGTCAACGGATCTCCATCAAAATTTTTTAAATGCACAAGAGGTCTGAAACAAGGAGATCCCCTATCTCCTCTGTTGTTCAACATTGCAGTTGATGTCTTAAATAAAATGATCATGTGTAATGTGGATGAGGGGTCATTAGCTAGCCTGCGCATTAAAGAGCCCTTGAATCACATTAGAAGTCTTCAATTTGCAGACGATACTTTAATTTTTATCAAAAGTTCTTTCAAAGACATATCTGTTCTCAAAACAATTCTTTACATCTTTGAAGACATCTCAGGATTGGGCATAAATTTTGCAAAATCATCTATGGTTTATTTTGGAAATATTTTCAACAGAGGAGATTATCTATCTTCATCTCTTAATTGCAAATTAGATTCTCTTCCAATCAAATATCTTGGTTTACCTTTGAAAGGTGGCACATTATCTAAATCTGATTGGCAACCTTTGTTGGACAATTTACATCGTAAGCTTGCTTCTTGGAAGAGCAATTGCTTATCGATGGGAGGAAAATTGGTCTTATTAAACTCGGTTCTCTCCTCCATCCCATTATATTTCATGTCTTTTTACAAACTCCCAAAATGGCTGATTAGAGACATTGACAAAATTAGAAAGAACTTCCTCTGGACTGGTAAAAAAGATTCGAAACCTTTCAAATGTCTGGTTAATTGGAAAAAAGTCTGTTTACGCAAATCAGAAGGGGGTCTGGGTGTGAAAGATCTCAAAATTTTTAATATATCTCTTCTATCTAAATGGTTATGGAAGTGTTTTGATAAAGAATCTTTCATAGGAGCTTTTCTTCATCATCTCTACATCAGTAAGGATTCTTTTTTGCAATTAGCTAATTGGAAGATCGGCAATTCTCAATTCTGGAATAATATCATCTCAAACAAAGAAGCTTTTCTTCATCTCCTTTCATGGTCTCTTGGCTCAGGTGACAAAATTAGATTTTGGGAGGACAAATGGATTGCCTCCAACAGTCTATCAAGTTTATATCCATCTCTATACAGCTTAACCTTATCCAAGAATGTCTCCATTCATAGTCAAGGCATCTATCATAATAATTTATGGTATTGGCATCCTCTGTTGAAAAGAAGTATTTCGGCTGAATCTCAACATGCTAAACTTGAGCTCCTCAATCTTATTAACCTACAAAGAATTACAAATCAGTTAGATATTCCAAGGTGGTCTCTTACTTCAAATGGCTCATTCACTGTTAAATCTTTTTATGATTTCCTATCATCCAGAGGTATCAAATATGCTTTTGCCAAAGTTACATGGAATTCCATTTTACCCAGCAAAATACAAATTTTCACTTGGCTCTTATCCCTAAACCGCCTACAAACCAAAGATAATCTAATAAAGAAAGGATGGCAAGGAGATACAACCTGTGTTCTATGTGGTGCACACTCTGAAACTAAAAACCACCTCTTCTTCTCATGCAATACAACTATGAAAGTCTGGCGGCATTTTGCAAACTATTTGTTACCTTTTATTTGGCCGACATCTCTTGAGGATCTTCTGCTATCTGTTGCATCTCTAAAGAATTTGAATGGTCTCATATGGCGCAATATTTTTTCTGCAACTTGTTGGATTATATGGACTTCAAGAAATAAGTTTATCTTTGAACAGAAAACTTTTTCTGCTGAATCAATTATTAACAACTCAATTCTTGCTTTGCATGCATGGGCAGAATCAGGAAGAAAGAAGGAAGCTTTACAGTTGGCAAAAGTGTTCGCAACCAAACCAATACCTCGCTGCAACAGTTAAAAAACTTGGGATTTTTCTGTATGTTGTAAATATAACTTTTGGTGGTGTGTTTTCTGTTGCTTAATTGATCTATAGAAAATTTAATTTCTTTTCTCTATATGTATGGCCGGCTTTGGTTCTCCTCTATATCCATGTCAACGATGAATGACGGTAAGGCCCTCTCTTCATCTTCATGGATGTTTGGGAGAAGAAGGTTATACATCAATAGTTAAGAGGAATTAAGTTTTCTATCTATCAATTGATGGATACAGTTCGTATCCATATTTTGTAAAAATACTTTTGTTTATTTTAATGAACAGGGTCCAACCCTTGTTTTTCAGTCAAAAAAAAAAAAGGTGTAGCTAATTGCTGCACATGCTGTTGTATTGGAGCACACACCCTCTGGTTCTCAAGACAATCTTAGCTTTTAAACTTATGTGAAAGTTGTGTTAGAGTGTTCTTAACCAATATCAACTCTGATCATCATGCGGTTCAAATGAGAGTTTAAAATCAGATAGAGAAATCTTATTTGAACAATCTACCATAAAATATTAAATGAGACAGTCTATGTTATTAAATGTGCATCCAGATGATATCAACCCTTAGGCCTCGTTTGGTACGCGGGAATGGGGTGGAATTGAATGGTCATTCTCACTTCTCATTCCTTCCTACCAAACACACCCTCTTTTTTGAAGTTGGAATGCTCATTCCCACTTCTTATCAATTCCCACTTTATGTGGGAATGAGCATTCCCAATGAAATGATAGGGAATGAGCATTCCCACTAAATGAGAATCAATAAAATATACAATTTTAAAATACATCCATTCCCACTTCATTTTATAAATTACACCCAAACGTGAGAATGAGAATGACTATTACATTCTCACATTAAGTCCATTCCATTCCCTCTTCCATTCCATTCTCATATAAGTCTATTCCTGCGTACCAAACGAGACGTTAGATCTATGCACGTCCCAAAATTCAATAATCTAAATGATGCACGCTTAGTACGAGGCTGGCCCACTTGTATGACGGGCTCCCACTCTCAGGACCCAAGCCCCCAAATGCTTTAAACTCAACACATGAAACCTTCATAAAAGGCACAATAACGCTTTGTAAAGCTTGTTTGTTTCCATATGTGAACACGTTGTACAATAAAGAGTCAATTGTTGTTTATTGTCCCTAAAATTCTATTTGAGACACAGAGCCCCTGGTACGAATGGAGTCACTATTATATAATAACAGATGGCAACTCTACAAATAATAGAGGCATGCACCATTGGAACACATCAGAGGTTCTAACTGCAAATTAAAAGTTTTTAAGGGAGTTCGAGTCTCTAGTGTACACCTCGACAGACCGAAACAAGAATTTAGAAACAGTTCAACACCAAAGCATCAAGAATTACAACCTCACACTTTCTCGAAATTGAAGTAGATAAAAAAAAAAAAAAACACACACACACGCTTGCATGCATATCATCTTTCTTTAGTTGCTTTACTGCGATGTTCCGAATCGGTAGGAGGCGTAAGAAAGCGCAGCGTTCCCCCAGCTGTGATGGATCAGTTCAGCTTTTGCGCCCTCGCCTGCTGCCCCGAGAGCCACGTGGAGAGGGTAAAAATGCTCAGGCCAAGGGTGTGCCTTCTTAGCGTAAGGTGCTTTCTCCTCGTAATGATTAACATCTTCATACCTAATTTTAGTAAAAATGGAAAAAGAAAGAAGATCAAACCTAGCTAATGGTCGAAGTTAAAATAAATGAAGAAATTTTCAAAAGAGCCTGATCAAATCATGTTTTAATTTTCAAAACCGACCCTTTTTTTTTATACCAAAATCGACTCACTTTTTGCTGCTTAATCTCATTCCTAAACAGCCGGGGTTGACAACCCCGACTGTTTAGAAGGTTGTTAAATCCCAATTAGAAGCCTTAAACCCGATTTTTTATGTCCTAAATAGTCGGGGTTGGTAACCCCGACTAATTAGGAAATGAGATTAAGCTGACGTGGAAAAAAATGAGTCGATTTTGGTAATAAAAAAAGTGGGTCGGTTTTGAAAATTAAAACTTGGTTTGAGACTGTTTTGAATTTTTTTTTCTAAAATAAATAGATTATGTGCGTATTCAGAAAGAGTTGTTTGTAGATGCATCCGTAGGACTACAGGAGTGCCGTAAACGGAGTTTACCTTCCATAAAGTAGGCAATCGAGCGGTTTCAGAATGTGGAGATTCTGTAAACGGAGTTTACCTTCCGTGGAGGAGGGCTTCTCTAAGCCACGAGTCGAAATCAGAAGCCCACCCGGGGACCGGCGCGCCGTCGCGATCGATTTCCCTCAGGTTGTGAGTCGCGCTCCCCGAGCCGATTATGAGCACACCCTCCTCCCTAAGGGGAGCCAGGGCTTTTCCCACGTTGTAGTGATGAGTCCCGTCCCTGTGTGGCTGGAGGGAGAGCTGGCATACTGGGATATCGGCCTCCGGGTACATGAGCATGAGCGGGACCCACGCGCCGTGGTCGAGCCCTCGGTGTTCGTCTGTCTTTGTTTGGGTGAAGCCGGATTTGCGGAGCAGGGATTTTACTCTCTCTGCCAGTTTAGGCGCACCGGGTGCAGGGTATTTGAGCTGAAACGTGATTCGATTAGATGAAGGACATTACGAAGAAACGAGTGTTTCAGTTATCTTGAAAATTCAGTAAAAAAAAAAATATTTGTCTGATGGACATGATTTATTAATGGCTTCTCTTCTCCTCTCTTGCAATTAGGTGGTATTTGTCCAGTTACCCCCGCTATCGTTAGTATCCGTTCTAATTTAAAGAGGTGTGATAATGTCTTATAGAATTCCCAGTATCACAATAGCGATTTTCGTAATAGTAGTTTTCATAACAATAGTAGTTTTAAGATAATTGTGAAATTCTACGTAGACTTCGATTACATCCATTTAAAAAAAATTAAAATCGAGTGGTGATTGAATCCTCTTCAATTATCACCTAATTGGAGAAAATCCAGATCCTCATGTATTATAAAATTTGAACCACTATTGCTCTCCTTAATTATTAGAGGACTAACTAATCAATCATTCCAGTTCTCCTTTTTCTTTATTAAAAAAAAAAATCACGCCAAATCTTCATCAAATAATAGTAAATTGTACTCTAAATCAAAAATTAACACCACCCTCGTTCTTCTTCATCTTCTTCAACTCTCAATGAATCTGAGATCAGAAACAAGGAGCATACTGTATCTCAAATCAATCTTTTGGATATAATTTCCTTCTTGTTTTGAAGGGAAATTAACAAAAAAAAAAAAAAAAAAAAAAATTAAATATGCAAAACCCATGTATGACGCATATGACATACCTCATACATGGGCTTGGGAAATCCATAGAAATCATAGATGGTATCGTTGGGCCCGTTCGCGGCCGCGACGGTGGGCTCAGTCGTCTCCCAGTGGCCTGAAATCACGAGAATAGCCCTGGGCACCTCAGAAAACACCTCGTCCCTCCACGACTTCAAGAAACGCCTCGCAGCCATGCTCTCGTCGATCGACAGCGTCGGCGATCCATGAGATATGAAGAAAGTGTCCATGATCAGAATAACAACAAGAGATTCTGGTGACGAAGAGTGGATTGAAGAAGGAAGAAGTCGTAGGTAAGGTTTTGACAAAGAGTAGGGGTGACTCCGGGTGCGCGGTCCCTTTCTTGATTTGGTTTTAAGGGTTAAAAATGCTAACGGACCTCCATTAGCTGCTTAGCATCACCTAATTGTAACGAGACCCCTGTAGTTCTATTTGTTGCTAATAGGCTTTTTATAGTTTTACTTGTTACGAACAAACCGCCTGACCGAATATCTTTTACTCTTAAAATAGTTAAATATGGTTAAGGAGGCGAATAGACCCCATGCGGTTCTATTAGTGAGAATTGCTTAATTATTCTGCTTTACTTTTAGAATAGTCGGAAAAAATCTACTAAAGAGGTGTCTTCGCACCTGGGTAAATAGTATAGGGGTTCTATCGTAACAAGTAGAAGACTACATGGACTATCTTTGCAATTAGGTGATGCTATAGGGAGTCTATTCGTAATTAATCCTAGTTTTAAACTCAGCCACGTTCAAAATTGTTCTTAAATCCAAGATACTACAGTGAATAAACTCAAAACTCACATTCTGTATTTGTTTAAATTAATTTAAAACCGACATATCATGCTGAATTATTTTTCATACTCATTATCTATATTTCACCAAAATCAGTCTGAAACCAAAATACCCTCCTTCATTATTTTAAGGAGAATTTTTTAAAATACACCACTTTTGCTAAATATTTAGCAAAATAGACCATTTTGCTAAATATTTAGCAATAGGCCAAAAAGAGGTCTATTTTGAAAAATAGGGCTTAGAAAACATACGGGACTACTAGTCCCGTATGTTTAGAACCAACTTAATCACTGCCATTTTGAAAAACAAGACTCAGAAAACATACGGGACTAGTAGTCCCGTATGTTTTCTGAGCCTTGTTTTTCAAAATCGACCTCTTTTTAGCCTATTGGTCAAAAAAGGGTCTATTTTGCTAAATATTTAGCAAAGTGGTCTATTTTGCTAAATATTTAGCAAAAGTGGTCTATTTTAAAAAAATTCCCTTATTTTAAAATCACTGTTCGCATTTTGTTATAATTTGACAAAATGTGTCTTGTTCATCTTTAACTTGCTTGCTATATTTTGGACTAAGTTCGTGATATTTAACGATTACACAAAACTGAGATGGAATTCGAAATGAATCAGGATAAAACCTTAGGGTCTAATTATATATTCTCTTATAATTTCTTCATCTGTTTCTGTTAATTATGAGAGCATTTTTTTTAGTAGTATCGTGCTAATTGAATGTCTAATTGTCTAAGTTTATTGCACAACGTAGAGTTTTTATGTTGTTAGGGGATGCCCATGGGAATTGACTTTTTCATATGGTAGCATTTCTGTTGACAACTACCTTCCCACCAAATTGACGCAACTTCCAGAATGAAAGTAGGGGCGTGTTTGGCAAACCGATCCCGGCCGGTCTTGAAGTAAGCTAGTTCTTTTTTTGAACTAATGGAGGGGCGGTTCAAAATAGGACCAGTTTTAAACCTCTATTTTCGATCTCAGATGATCATTATTTTCTCTAAAAAATAAAACATCATTATTTTCAAATAAATCCTCAAATATTGAGAATATTATATACAAATCCTTCGAAAAAGATTTTAGTTAAAGCAAATGGGTTAACGTTAGTATCTTATTTTTTTAAGCACTTTGTGCATATTACATCTCATGAAATCGTATTAAGTTTTAACTTTGAAATTCAAATTTTAAATTTATATTGATAGCATCCACATGTTTCAGTTCTTCATTTCACATGAAGGTTCCATCAAAAAAGTGGCATTATGTAATATAGATGCTCCTTTTGCAGCAATGTAACATTTTATTGTTTGTACAATACAAACCTCTCATAAACAAAGATAACAAATAATCAATCTGATGAATATAAAAGCAGGAATTTCTAGTTAAAAATGGCTAACAAATGCAACTGCAAGCAAACAATAACCAAACTATCCCAAGGTACTACTTTCTAGAAGAAACCCATGTGGCACCATTCTCCCACATGCTTGGGTTTATCAGAGCGCATATAGTCCGCAAGAACTAACAAGCCATCAGGAGCAGCCCCTGCTTATCTTTCTAAACTTTAGTTGAATTGTATCATCAGGTATCATCAACTTGAGAATGGAACACAAAGCTAGGGAATGTTGTTGTTATGTCCCTGTTAAGGAGGCAGAAAAAAGTCAGAATCATGGCAAAAACAAATTTGAAAGTATTGAGGATGATTGTGTGTGACACAAAATTGTATAACATTTTCTATTAGTAACCACAGGCATTATTATTTATTATTATTTAAGCTACAACTGGTTCAAAATGGCTGCATGGATGCTATTTATAAAAATGGACTTACCAAATAAGCTGTACATAGAGATTTCATTCGATGATGTATGCCGTGTTTGCCAGTAAGCATGATTCTTGTTAATGATATTATCGGTTGATTATCTCTTAAGATTAAATACATAAATTTGAAATATGTGGCTCTAGGTTTCTTGTCTACTCAACATGACATCCACTAAATTTAAGTTGACCTGATGCCCTCATTAGATTAAATTTGCAAGTTACTATCCTGAAATCTGGTTCTGCAGTACACCAATATCAGGTAAAAATGTCAATAATACAATACTTATGCAGAGAACATATCGGTTCCTTGTAAAATATATAAAATAGGTGAATATAAATTCCTAAGTCTTGCGTATATGCAAATAATCACAACCTTCATTGTGTGTTTGATAGGATGGAATGGTATGTGTGTGTATGTGTTTGTGCTGGTGAGCGAGTAAGAGAGGGAGGGTGGAGGAGGGCAAAAGGTTGATTTACAAAAACTAATTTAACATTTGTAATATCCAGCCAAAATTCCATCAGTTAATAATATCAGATCAGCCACGGGATCAGAGTTTCTTACTTCAGGTACTGGAGGGTCATGTTCTTTAATAAAGATGGATGTCGTAAGACCAGATTCCGCCACTCTTCCTTATCAATTTTTCCATCATGTTTTGTATCAGCTTCCTCAAATGTCTGCAAGAAAAATTGAGATAGAAGGTTAGTGATTGCATCCGATCACAATAGGAACTTTCTACACGAGGATTACTTGAACTCAAGTTTTAGGAATTTAATATCGAATGAGGCCACTGAGACCTGTCTTAGTGGTAAAGAAGAGGGTTTGGTGGTATGTCTATTATCAATATTACCAATATTTGAGGGTTTGCTTGACATGGCTTCACTGTTTTAAGGAAAATAATGCTTTTTAATGCAAACTTGGATGCCCGGCAATTAAAACAAAAGAGACTTTCTTGAAAGCACTAATTAATAAGCTGCTCTTGAAAGAAGTCCCTTTATTGCAAAATCCTGGCTTCTGTCAGCAGTAGAAGCAGAAAGGTCACATACATTACTGCCCCTTCGAAGGTCACATACCTGATTGCCCCTTCTCTAATATTTTTTTTGTCACGTGATCTCTCATGTAGTCTGATCTATAACTAAATTTTATAAGGACTCGGGTTGTGAATATTTTCTGTGGTTCGTGAATATTGGCTGAACTCTCTCGTTCACTCCATTCTTATCAAAACTACTAAGAAATCTGATTCAAAATTTGATCTTTCTTGATGAGCATTACAATTATAAGGACCAAACATCAAAGGTTTTCTTTTCTTTAAAAAGCAGATTTGGATGAGTGCTTTTCAGGAAGGACTTATAAGGAGGAGCAACATCAAACATACATAAGAAGGATTACAGAAATGTACTAGGAAATCAAGGCAAACCAAATATCAGAATATTAATGAAAATTTTATGCACACCTTATCAATGATACTCTCTATGACTTCATCTGAAAGGTTCATCCCGGACTCAGCAAGCGTAGCCACTACCATTTGTTTCACCTGGGCACCAAACTTATTGATTAACATCAAAGCTAAGGTGACAAAAAAACGTGCATATATTTTATGGTGCCACAAACAATTTTAAAATTAACATAGACCTTCTACAATCAACTGGTAATCCACTAACAGTACAAAATTTGAAATTCAGGATCTACTCAACATTTTACAAAGAAAAAAAACCGAACTCGCTGCGGGAATATAAAGAGGAAACTCGTACTCATAACTCAACAAAATATTAAATTTTACCTCCTGTCTTTCAATGAACCCTTGTTGCTTGAGATCATATAATTGGAAAGAAACTGCAAACCAACAAAATGTTAAGTTTGTCTTTCTTGCAGGATATCTCAATCAAAAATCTTTTTGAATGAGGGCAAAACCAGCAATAACATAAGAGTAAAAAGCACCTAAGGTTCCAAATAATAGATGTCGTAAATAAAAGGGAACAATAAATTCCTGCGTAAATTGAAAACCATATCAACCAGTAGAAAATTGGTACCTTTCAATTACATAAGAAGAAACTCATAGATATTAGAAAGGTAAATAGCAAATACAAATGTTTAAAATTGTCCTCATATTATATGATCGCCCCGGAATTTTAATGACTAATAACAATAAAATGAACCATATAAATAAAATTGACACATTTGATCATTTTTAAAGAAGTTGAAAAACATAAAATGCAATGCAACGGATTGAATTCTCCAACTCAACCAAAGCTTTTTTTTTCTTTCTTTACGTGTCAGATACTATATGTAAGCACTGTATGCATGACACAGAAACCTACTAACCTTTCAATTACTTATTTTCTAAGCATTTAAAAACTACATATCCAGGCAATCTCTTTGACTTGTAATATTAGATAGAGAAATGTAAAAGTTTCTACTGAGAGGATAGAATCTAGAATCCTACAACGAGCTAAGCACCTATGCTGATATCTTGATCTCGATTCCAGTCAATGAACATACATTGAATCCTTTTCCAATTATACACTGATCTTAGCCAGCATGCTCGCTTTGAAAACATTTTCATACTAAGAAGACTTCAGTGCTCAGGCTAAGGCAACTATACTCATGAAGGTAGTAAATAGAATCTGCTTAAAGGATTAATGATTTGAAGTAAGGACTTGACGGTTCCATTCATATTATCTGAGAACCAGCAGAGAGTTTCCCCTTCCCGCATTGTACTATGTACTAGGCAATCACTTTATCAACAGAACAGATGACAGACAACTGGGCTCAAGAAGTTGGAGAACCCTTATTTTTGGGAAGTGCTAAAGTAAGTTACCTATCATGGAGGACTGCGAAGATAAGAATTAGCAAAAGACCATGAATACAGGCCCAGAGGTTTAATTTGCTGAAAGCTAGTAAATAGTAAGATCTGATAAATACATTGCATTAGTTTTAAGCATGTTTAACACTGTTGAAGTTCACAAAATTATTATTATCTATTCATATGAAAAAGTAAATGTTTTTCATGCGTTCCTTTAATCTCCAGTGGTGGACTACAACCTTTGCCTAAGGTCCGTATCTCATTCAAGAAATAAATCGTCATAGTAGGAGAATATGAATCCCTCTTCAGTGGTTTATAAATGAAACTTCAACATTATAACATAGATTCGCAATGGACCCAGGACTGGACATTACATTCTCATAACAGTAACCAAGATGCCATGGGTCAGAAGATTTAATACCAACTGATAAGTCATTGGATCATCGTTTCAAAGAGTCTTCTAGCTCTTGAAAGTTTATTTCACATATACATGGATGTTATTTTAAGAGGGCAGTAGGTTCATTTTCTTTTAATCGTCCACTTAAAGGAGTGTATTAACTAGAAAAATGTGTTAGACCAAGGGCTGTACTTCGTCTGCATCCTTCCTCTACAACTTTTTGTAGCATGTGGTGAAACGATTGCAGACACTAGACTACAAAAAATTACTATATACTCTCATAACTTGACCAAACAATGCAAGCAAGCCTCAAGCATATGGGTTAAGAAACGAAGTAGGTAAATTCAACCATTCACGGACCACAGGCACATGTGAGTGCACACATTGCCTCTGCGTCCTGCACGCTTCATGCACACACAAGCACACATCTGGATGCACATCCATATGGTATATGCACTTGTACTCTTGTATTGAATCTTAAACCAGTATAGCTACTTTTAAAATTTTCACTTAAATCAATGACTACGGGATCAGCTCAGAAGTACACCTGAAGACTAAAGTAAATACAAATTCAATAATTATGAAATATGGTAAAGTAAATGCAACTTCACCAGTTATGGAAATTCTTAAGGATAAACTTCAACACTTAGACAGTAAAGTGATATACACATAAAAATGTAAGCACAAGGTAAACACAATTAAAAAAAAAAAAGAACTTACACTCAATTTTATCATCAATTGGAGCATTTGGATGGAATACAGAGAGGGCACGTGCAAACTCTTCAAATCCTAATATTCCATTGTGTTTTGTATCAAACAAGTCAAAAACCTGGAAAATCAAGTGACACACAGACATCCCATAAACAATGCATTCATACACAAGATGTAGTACTGTTGACACTCACCTAAAATAAGAAAAGGGAAATCGGTGCATTATCTACACACAAAGTCCACAATAATGTATGCTTGTGGAAACATTTATTACGACCATCAGAAAACAAGATCAAATTGGACAACAAGAAAGCTGCCTCCCAAGAGAAAAGGTAAAAGAGCAATAAGAACGACGAACTTGTCACCATCTGCAACTTTTATGTAAGCAGCCTCATGATTGCAAATTTCCAGACTAGGATTATGTTTAAATCAAGAATGCCTTTTACTGACTAGTAATTACTCCCATAAAGTTGAAAGAAAAACATTCATATTGACAATGCCATATCTTACAAAGCATGACTTAAAACAATGCAAGGTAATATAATAATCTTTAATTCAATCAAGTTAAGTTCCATAAATACCCGATCAGCAAATAAGCTCTCCTTTTTGTTTGTCTTGAATAGGGCTAACTGAAACTCTTCCTGCAGCACAAGTGGTTATTTAGTAATCAAACCAATATCAGGTCAAAAAATGACCACGTATAATTGATAAAATATAATGATAAGGTATCTACAGTAGATAATTCATGGCTCCTTTGGCCAAACTGAAACCCCTAAGCACTATGAGGCTTGAAGAAAATGGGGAGAACATTCAAAGCTTATGGTCCTGAAGGAATTCAAGTAGATGGACAAGTTCTCCTGTAACTTAAAAGGCAGATGCTGTACATGTTGATAGCTACTAGGACCAAAATTCAAGATCACTCATATCAAATGCTATATGATTGGAAATTAAGGATCTCACAAGGATAGCCAATGTAAAACCTAGTCTGCTTACGAAAAAAATTATAATTAAGGAGGAAATTGAAATTAGAGGCAAGCCTATGAGGAATTTGGTTGGAAGCTCTTAAGAAGGAAATGATAATGATTAACTTAACGGAGGAGATAATCCTTTACAGAATAGAATAGAAGAATATGATTTTGTTACCGATCCCAAAGATTGGGATATAGATTTTCTTGCTGGTGTATCTCACAAGGACTGCAGAATGTTCACATCATACATATAAGATGAGGTTTTTACCTTGTTAATCAACCCGTCATCGATCACAGCGCTGCTGATCTTTTTAAACAACTCGTACAATGCTTCTATTTCACTTACGCTGACTGCAAACCAAATCAAGTAAAAGAGAACTACAGCTTCAGCCCACGACATATGAAGACTACCCATTACGATATAATAATTCGATATCCAAAAGGAACTTACACACTGTCTCTCTTGCTAAAAGTTCAGGATCTTCAAGGCCCTTGGGCTGCTTTTCGAGTTCACAGCACTTCAGCAGAGCAGCAAACAAATGCTTGACTCCCTCTAAGCACTGCAACATGATATTATTTTACGTCTAAATGCTTCTTGCCCATCAACAAACTCCATGCCTGCAGTTTAGAAAAGAAAACATAACCACCAACAGCAATCTAGAGAACAAACAATTTAATCTTTAACATTGCTATATAATAATACCATGGGAACTACCTTTTAACCATTTACAACGTCTATATTAACTCAATGTCAAACCAAGGGATCCAAGTATTGCTCAAACCCTTATCTGAAACAAAAAGATATAATCCATTATATCAAAATAAAGATCAATCAAGCAAAATTCCTTTCTTTTTTATCTTTTAAAAAATGGAATCATACTTGTCCGCCCAACAAAATTCGAACTGACATGGAATCCAGCAGTTTTGGGTCAAAATCAGTAGCTAGAGAAATCAAACGATTGAAAAATAACAGACTGGTCTACAACTTACCCCAAAGCTCGAAAATACCCACAAAATTCGTGCAATTTTGAAAAAGAGAAGGAGAGATCGAAACTCACCGCTGAAGACGATCGATCGTCCAGTAACCGGGTAGTAAAGATTCGAATTAGGGCTCAGCCTTCAGATATCTACTTGAATCTCCTTCAGATATCTACTTGAATCTCAATCTCAACATCCATCTAGAGAGAGAGAGAGAGAGAATGAAACGAATCTAGATTTCTCAAGGGAAGTTGTGGGGGCCGCGGCCGCTGCCCAATGAAATTGGAGAGAAACCCGTGGCTCAAAATGACAATAGTCGGGTGACGTGTTGCAAATTTTAATGACCCCGGGGACCGCGACGTAAAATTGACCTTAATCATGTGGCCCCGACACGTTTCTTGTAACGCTGTGCTGTGGATTGCTAGAAATGAGTAGAATGATGGCGGCTTATTATTAATTTATTATTATACGTACACGAAGAATACAAGAAGAATCGCCAGCCTTTGGGAACACATGAAATTATTATTAGCGAGTAGTAATAAATAGATTTAATTGCAAATTGACTAACCACATTAATTATAGGAGGAGACGGTCCCTGTGATACGAGCCCACGATCCAAGTTCAGCTGTTGAGAAGGCCCCAGGCCCCCCCAGGACTCCGTACTCGATGGTCCATGATCATGCTACCTGTTCAGCATTTGCGTGAAGCATCCAATCTACACATATCAATGAAATTAGCGTCTCAGCATAGTTAGCGTCGAGAGCCTTATTACCTGCTGTGTAGCACAGACACGGATCCGACACGGCCATCCGACACGCCGACACGAGGCAAATCCTAAAAAATACATAGCAATATGCACAAATGAATATATCCTATCAATGAGATATTACAAATACATGAGCAAGGATATATGAACTTACACAAGGGTAAAATAAACATAAATAAGATAGTGGATCATATAAATAATGAGCTATGGACAATGGCGATATAAGATATGAACATAAATATAAATGAACGCCAAAGCACACTCAAACAAGCAATATTCGACACGTGTGTCCGACACGGACACGACACGACACGGCTTCATATTATGCGTGTCCGTGCTTCATAGATTACCTGTTCAGCATTTGCGTGAAGCTTAGAAATACATTTTGAACTAAAAATTACCTACAGAAATGTGAACAGATCTTAAAAGGGCTGGGTATTGTTAATACTTGTTGCGTCTTCAAGTTTTTCAATTGAGACTGTGATCTACAAAACATCGACTTAAGGGTCAGAGAGTTCTTAGCTAGGGCCAAGCTCACCTTTTTAACACTCATTTATGGATAATAATGAGGAGCCAACTTCCTAAGCGTCATGTTTATACGCATCATCGTTATTAATTCCATTCAAGTTCTGTCGTTTAGCTCTTACCGCTTAGATATGCAACATGTATTAACAATACCCAGCCCTTTTAAGATCTGTTCACATTTCTGTAGGTAATTTTTAGTTCAAATTGTATTTCTAAGCTTCATGAACCAAACTCTGGTCATCACATTCTAACTAATAACTAATCTTGATTTTCTTCTCCGAAAACAAGCTCGATTTAGGGTGTGTTTCGTAATCGAGGTGTTTGTTTTTGTTGTGTTTTTTAGAAAAATACCATACCATTGTGTTTTTTTTTCAAACATGTTTTGAAAACACCATTTTTAGTTATTATTTATAAAGCGGCGGCGGCGGCGGGTGGG